TGTAAAAGGAGAATGTATGTATGTAAGAGTGAAAATATATGTATGTAAAAGAAGAATGTATGTGCGTGAGAGGACCAGTATGAATTATGGCCTGTACGGCCCCTCATACATTAGCGCCTGCAGGCAGGCTCCATGGACCTGTCAGCTCCGGACTGCGCAAAATGCGTACATGTATGGCAAGCCATTTGAGTATTTATTCAATTTCCTTGATATCAGACGGCAGCGGACTACACTAGTTGGCTCTTTGATTTCACTTGTTAGATATATGGTCAAACTAGTTAGGCACTCTGCTTTACTAGTTGAATAAAACATTTCACTAGTCGCTCTTTTTCAGCCACTAGTGGCACTTTTGTCCGACTAGTTACCACGTATGCCTTACTAGTGACGCCAGGAGCAGCACTAGTAACGCCAAAGTCCCAACGTGTAAGCTTTTTGATGAACTAGTGGCCCTCTGACCGTACTAGTGACCCTAAAAGTCTTACAAGTTAACTAGTGCGCTGCAAAAGCTCTGACATGTTAACTAGTCACACAAAAGAAGCACAACTAGTTAACATGTCAGAGATTTTGCAGCGCACTAGTTAACTAGTCGCACCCAGAATCACTCACTAGTTAACTAGTAAAGGCAAAATGTTCACTAGTTAACTAGTTGACGCCTCTTTTGACCTTACTAGTTAACTAGTGGGGCTCAAAATGTCTACACGTTAACTAGTGAACCCTTTGCCTTTTACTAGTTAACTAGTGAGAGAAGTTTAAATTCCACTAGTGAACTAGTGAGGCTTAAAATGTTCACTAGTAGCACTAGTGGATCCCAAATGTGCACTAGTCACACTAGTTGCACAGAATGCTAATGAGGAGGAGGGGAAAGAACGCATCGAGGTCTCCTATTGGCCCTAAGATATAGAGCGCCACCCAGCCAAAATAGTTTATTTAAGAGCTTAAATACACTGTGTTTTAAAATATGACCATATTTACAAAAATATAAAACAAAAGTATTTGTGTTATTATGATCATATGACTCTTTATCAAATTAGGTAAGAACATTGAAGACTTTCTTAAAATTAGAAAGTTGCCTTATGACTGCAGACACGAATATAGATCCTCTTTAACACATTTTATTAAGCTGCAATTTGAAAGGTGCTTGGATTAGAATGGCATTGTGATAAAAGAGTGACATTATTGATGGATTGAAAGAGGAAGTAACCCTCTTCGGATCACAGCTTTGAGAGATCGCCGTGACTTCCGTAAATATTAGTCTTGGCAAATATGGAGAGGTTGTTTATCTTCATACGGATCTATCGTTACCCTGATTTTAAGATCTGTCCAGTGTTTCTGCTTTATTCATTTCATGAGCACCACTGATAAAATGTCTCACGATCACTCCCTCTACTTTTGTGTCTCGAGTGCCGGTGTTCTCACACACAAGCGTGCGCACATTCGCACCAACAAAAACACACACACAAAGCGGAATATAGCAGAAGCAGAAACATGTATATTTCTAGGTAAAACACACACTGACTGACTTCCCACGGACAATATGTTAACAGTGGGCATAAATATCCGACTGATGCAACTCACGTCTTCAAGACGTTACTAAAAACATCGCAGGAGAATGCCCCCTAAGGCTCTCCCTCACAGAGCTGAACTGACCAATCAGAATCTGGGTCCCGCCTGCTTCATTTGCATATATAGGCTCACTAGTGAACGTGTATGGCCTTCACGTTCACTAGTGAGCCATATGAACTGCAACTAGTTAACTAGTGGATGCATATCGGTCTCCTATTGGCTCTTAAGATAGACCTCGCCCATCAATTTTCACAGAAGTTCAAACACAAGATGGCGGGCGTTGTACTGAGACGTATAAGAAGAAGATGTACTGAGATTCAAAGAGCATTTAATCAGGGATCTTTGGGCCGAACAGAAGTTTACGCTATCAACAGCTCTATAGCTAACGTAAGAAGGGTTGGAGATACTATTGGCGCCCAGGCTGTGCAGGATATAGTTCAAAGTCTCACTGATCTCAGATCTTTCATCTCCGGACCTCAAGCTTCAAATGCCCTACATACTGGTTTCCATGCAGCACACCTTGTGCATTCAGGTGAATTACTAACTAACATTGATAAATGACTTGCCTTGACTTTAGGGCTGTACCTGAATATTCGAATATCTGAATATTCGTTCGTTGGAATACTATTCGGGTTTAAATTTCGTTATTCGGATATTCGTTTTGTTTGTTTTATTCCCGTTTTTTCTTCAAATTGAATTTATTGAAATCTCCAATATCAACGTAAGAGCTTGTGCCTCTTCGGGGGGTGCTAACACTTAACCATAAACGTTATCGTTTACTTTCTCCGTCTTTATATGTAGATATTACTTTTCTCCGTTAATCTCCGTCACGTTGTTTCCAAAGCAACAACAACTTCCTGTCAACAGCGCTACCTCTCCTTCAAAATAAAAGCATGTCCATGAATAGGAAACCAACTGTATACAACTGCAACGAAAGTAACAAACACAATGCGATATCTTTTTCAATTTCAAAGAACACAAATTGGGTTAATAACTATAAAACAAGAATACTGTAGAATAACAAAATTAATGCCGTGATTACACCAACATACACGCGTTGAAGCAGTGCGCTGATGATTACTACGCCACTTTTTTTTACCAGTTTATATAACTTTGAACTCACATGAATATTAATGTGACCTGTTGTTAACAGACTTACTTAACATTTAAAAACTCATTGTTCTGTTGATGAACGTTCTGATGAACTGTTATAATAATTATACATGTTTATATAATTGATATTATATATTTTCCTTTTTTATTTCCATATCATAAGGAAGACGAGGAAGACCTGCTCTTGACATAACGAGGGGGCAAATTGAGCTGCTCCTAGGTCAAGGTTTTACCGTGAGAGCAATGGCAAGGATGTTGGGCTGTTCCTCCTCATTCCTTCATAAAAAAAATGATGTCTTTAAATACTTCAGCAAGGAACAGATTCACTACCATTAGTGATCCTGACCTAGAAGAGCATGTCAGGAGACTCCACAACCAGTTTCCTAGATCAGGTTCAGAAGTAAGCATACTAGTTTATATTCCCTTTTAGAGTTTTAGAGTTTGTTTATATATAACATTTTATAGAAAATGTTCTGTATCTTATTTGTCTTTTTAAATTAACCACTTTCAGATGATGAGGGCATACCTACACGCAGAAGGGATTGTGGTACAAAGAAGAAGAGTTAGAGAGACTCTAAAGCAAATCGATCCAGCTGCAGCAGCACAGAGATGGGGCCAGACTGTGGCTAGGAGAACCTACTATGTGCCCTTTCCTAACAGCTTGTGGCACATAGATGGCCATATGCGTCTCATTCGGTAATCAGCTCTTGAATTTGAAAGAAAGCAATTATAGTAGTAATTATAATCTTCTAATCCAGCCTAGTTTTGTTTATTATTTTCCTCTTTCACTATATAATCTCAATCATTTTCTTATCAACAACATTTATAGAAGTATTGGATATATTGAACAAATGTTATAAAGATAACCTTTAAGGTATTTAATGTAATGCATTAATTCCTTGTTCTATTCATTCGATTATTTGCACAGGTGGGGGCTTGTGACACATGCCGGAATTGATGGGAACTCCAGACTCGTAACTTTTATCAACTGCGGCACTGACAACACAGCTTTGACAGTGCTAACCCATTTTGTTCGAGCTACCTGTCGGTATGGGTTACCATCCAGAGTCAGGTCTGACCACGGCGGGGAGAACACTCTAGTTGCCCTCTTGATGAACCTTCTACAGGGAAACGGAGAAGTGAGGCACATTACAGGCCAATCTGTACACAACCAACGTATTGAGCGTCTTTGGAGAGATGTTTTCCAGCAGGTTGTGCACTATTTTTACACACTTTTTTATTCCTTTGAAGATGAACAAATATTGAACCCCGAAGATGACATTCAGAAAATGGCACTACAAATCGTTTTTAAACCAGAAATCCAAAAAAGACTAGATTTATTCAGACATGCGTGGAACAACCATAGACTAAGAACTGCTAACAATCGTACACCAACACATATTTGGATGGAGGGCATGCTAGCCAACAGGGAGCAACATTCAACAGCTATAGACAATGTCTTTGGAAATGATCCCTACAGCCAAGAAAATATTGAAAATGGCTTGGCAAGACATGGCATACGGCTCGATCAGTTGCAAGCAAACAATGATGATCTTGAACGAGCAGTGATAGTGCCACAACCACACATTATCCTGAGCTCTGAACAACAGCAAGATCTCCAAAATGCAATGACTGGAACAACTGACTTAAAGGACAGGTATCTGCTTTGTGTTAGACAGATTCAAAACATGCTCTAATTGAAAGAACATAATGTGACTACAAAAAACTATTAAGTGTGAGGGGATATTATTCACTATTACTGTAAATGATAGGCTACAAGATATAACTCCAAGAATAAACGCCCGTTTCAAAGAACCGACCTGTGTCTGTGTCGTGAAGAGAGCTACAATGACCATCCACACTCCTCCCCTGCTTCTATCTCCCTCCTCTCCTCTTCTGTTTCCAATACCGTTCTCCCCAACTACACTGGGTAACACCACTGAAAATACACACTAGAAAAATGACTTTTTGGTTCAGTAAATAATACTTTTAACACATGTTACTTGTTAGACGCTTTTATCCAAAGCGACTTACATACTCAATACTGTGGGTGAAGTGTCTCAGGGACACAACGACATGCTGACTGCAGTGGGACTCGAACTTGCTATCTTCTGATTTGAAGATCAGCGCATTAAACCACTGCGCCACACACCTCCCATATTATGTGTTTAAATTCTAGAAGAAATTACTAATGTTCTTTTACTCAACATCTCTCCTTTTATGTAATGTGTTACTTGAATTTGCAAGTAATTTGTTATCTTCATTTTGTTAAATGTCATTGAAATCATAGCTCATAGCACCAAGTAAATGTAAAATCAGATTTATTATTCCTATAGGTGGATTTACAGCATATGTCAACATACATATCATGTTTGAAGTACTTAACAAATCAAAGGAATGGAACACAATTCTGAGCTTCCGAACCACGCTAATACAAGGTCCCTCTTAAAACAGGGCCAAGTTAGAAGTTACTGCTCACAGGACAAGAAATTGTTTGCCACTTGAACGCCCATAAAACTGCAACTTGTAGAATGACTTAAGTTTATGAACAAATAAAAACAACAAATAAATGGTATTAACATCAGAGCATTTATAAGTAGGGAGTCAAAAATGAACCGTCGAGAACAAAGCAACAATTGAGGTATCATTAGTGCACTTCCTGAACGCAGTTTCCATATTTATGGCAATAATGTCAAATTTCACCCAGTGCAAAATTGCAGTAATACTTTCTCCCTCATCTTATCGTCATACTCTGCACACCCTCCCAATCCTCCTCCTCTCTTCCTCCTTGTCTATTTTTCTAGACCTTTAAAAAGCCCAACGAGTCTTTCACTGACTGGTTCAGTATGTTGTGAAGCTCTTGTTCCTCTGTGATGCCTCTTGGTAGGAACAACGTCATAGCACAGGTTGAGGCATATGGCAAACGACGCACACCGGCCTCCTGTGTATAAAAGTCAATGGAGGGCTTGTTTGGAAAGCCAAGCGTTGGAACTTCATCTGCCCCAGTGATGAAAATCAGCAGGTCCTCAAATGTCAGTTCAGTCAGTTTGTCTGCCAATGACAAAAGTGTATATTGGAATATTTATTTTCATTTTTAAAGTCAAATGTGGAACATAATAATATCACTAAAGTAATTTAACATCAAACATTAATCAATAATGTAGTTTACATTTATTTGGCTTTATGGTATATTGACATCAACATGTGTATTTGCCCCTTTTTGTATTTGCATTAGCTACATTGATATTAAATTAAATCGATTTTCTGTTTGTAAAGCATCCATCAATAACAGTATTTACTGAGTTATAGTCATTTCATATGAGGTGCTTTTACATTTTCCTTAAGGTATAAAATGTACCTTCGATGAGGTTTAGGACCAACTCCCAGCTGTATATCGTGTCCTCCTCTTTTTCCCGGTGATTTGTTCCTCTTGGACTGTATTCATATTTTAATATGGCCTTAAAGGAGGATTTTGTCAGCGGGGTCCTCATGTTGGTGAAGCAGGGAACGAAGGCAATCCAGTTGTTCCTGACCAGGTCCCACAGGTTCCCAAAAGCATTCATGCCCTCCGTGAATTGGTTCACCATCTTGGCCGTTCTATAAGCCAACAAAGATCAAACATGTATATAACCTGAAGAAAAACTGATGCGTTTTTTTGGAAAGGACTAAAAAGCAGTAATAATAAGAAAGAGCATACATAATTTGCAACATTTTAACCTACGTTAAGGAAAACACAAAATATTCAGTGTTCAAAATGTTAAATATTAGTAGCATACAGTAAGTTATGGCTTTTATATTAACATTGTTTTATAATGTCTATGATTTTATATTTTTTTGTTTATAAGTGTTTTTGTTTACCTGAGAAATATGTAGTGCTTAACTACATAGGAATAAATCTTCGGAATTTCTCCGATAGTGGCACTGAAGATGCCAGGGATGCCACACTCAGAGATCCAGTCCCCCAAGTCTTGCTGGAGGGCAGACAGGTCCTCTGCAGTCTTGCACTGTAGGATCTTAGAGATAACATAATGTAGCCGGATTGATAAATTACAAAGGTTTAGTGGAAATGCTTTTTATGCTTTTACAAACTTTCACTGACCAAGAAGGAATGTATTTTCTTCTATCAAATCCTAACAAATATTAATTAATAACATAAAAATAATCAGGCACCCTTTTTGCTCTGCTTTGAACATCCGGATCAGGCAGCACACTGCAGTCAAATTGCTCCAGTTGAGCCTCCTGGCCGCACATTAGCTGGTACAGGCTGGGATCCAGGGCTTTGATACACGGACCTCCGTGTGCCACTGACCACGCAATTAGGCGGCCTGCTTGGAAATACTTGTGGCCATCTAATGCCGCTTGGTCATAGGTAAGGAAGACCTGACCAGCCTTTCCCTCGAATATTCCCATGGTTGTTTGTACTTCTATCATCAAGAGTCTACAATAAATCAATTGAGAAAAAAATACAGTACTATAACTTTGCAGTCAACCTGAAAACTAGGACACATTATGATTAAGAATCATACACTAAATGAGGTTATTCAGACCTGAAAAACTCTCTCTGTGGTCCACCCATGTCATCTCCATCTTCTCCTACAAATTCTATGTAGGGGGAATTGTTCCAGCAGAATGTAACCCTTGAGATGGCTTTTATTGCACTCTCAAGAAGTTTCTTCCTCCTGATGCAGATATTACTGACTAGGCCATCAGAAACGAATTCCTTTCTGAAGTCACTTAAAAGGACGGCCAGATCCACTTCTTCCTAAATCATTTAAAATGTATAAAGTCCATTATACATGACTGGTGATTGGTGAAGAGGGGTTGTCTGTCTTGGGTACTGGTGCTTTCGGAAATGTAGCGAAATGATTGCATTTAGTATGTGTCATTATCAGTTCCCGGAAACAAATGTTGTCCTATTTTTTAATAATGACAAATAAAACTTACCACGGGAAAGACATAACTTTCCAAAGTCCCAAAAGCCTCGTCCTCGCCCTCTTCCTCCTCATCAGAATCATCAATTAAAAAGTCATTGAATGAATTCCTAGAAAAAAAACATGTTTCTTTATTTTAAGAGGATATATAATTAATTATTATAATATATATATATATATAATTATATATAATAATATATAAAGGATGAGAACAGGGTATTCAGTTAGCTTACATTCAAAACCAATACACTGTGTTAATTATGTATAAAACACCATTATCTATAAATACCTGTTTGGTTGTTCCAAACGTGACCTTCTATAAAATACCTTGAAAGTAAAAATGGTGCATGAAATATTAATGTCCTTATTACAACGTGTATATACACTACAAATACTGAACTATACAGCCATATACAGTAAAGCTTTACCTCTGGAGTCCCAGCATTTACCCATTGTGCGGAATGCAAACTTTCCACCTGTTGATTGACAAGAGGTAACAATTACATCCAACTGTCTTTTACTATGTTTATTTTCAAAAATCTCCTGAGATGAATTCATAATAAGATATTTTTTACATACATCAGCGTCCATAGATACAGAAGTTGATGGGGGTGTGGGAGCAGTGGTTGATCCCGCAGTTTCAGTGGCGGCCGAGGTAGAGGCAGCCGAGGCAGAGGGTGCTCCTTCTGAATCAGTGGCCAAGGTAGAGGCGGCCGAGGCAGAGGGTGCTCCTTCTGAATCAGTGGCCAAGGTAGAGGCGGCCGAGGCAGAGGGTGCTCCTTCTGAATCAGTGGCCAAGGTAGAGGCGGCCGAGGCTGCTCCTTCTGAATCAGTGGCCGAGGTAGAGGCGGCCGAGGCAGAGGGTGCTCCTGCAGGTCTAAGGGCCGCAGAGGCAGAAGATGAGGCCATCTGTGGGTTGGATGATAAAAAAGTTTAGGAGAACTTGATGGACGAAACAAGCAGCTTAAAAAGTAACCAATATCAATCTCCTAATATTAAAGAATTAAGTATAACATAGATATATGTAGAATTTATAACATAGTAACAGTAGTAAAGAATAGGCTCAAAACAACAACTCACCACTAACAATGTTGGTATGTCTGCCTGCGGGATTATATAAACCCTGCTCCTGCCAACAGATCTTTTAAGGTCTGCCATAGTAGTAGCCTGCAGTTGCGTTAGTAGCCTGGAGTTGCCAGCTCTTGCCAGAGTGAACCCAATCATATTCAAGGGAATTGTAGGAAAACTTTGACAAACATAGCTGTTGAACTCTAAAAGAGTCATTGAGAGCTTGACATAGCTTCGTTCTGAAACAACCCCTTGCTGGTCATGAGCTGGGATTCCTGTAAAAAAAAAGAAAAAGAAGGTGTCAGTCAATATACTGGCTCTATAAATAACTATGATTTAGATTCTAAGCCATATCGTGTCTTTATATGAAGTGAAAAATATACATCTATGAACATATGGTCAAAAAAGGTGCCATATGAATGAAGGCTCATCCTAGACATTGACTTTGTTATGAATGGAAAAAAGCTATTATTAATATTTGAACAATGTAAGCCAATGATAGAATAGGCATAATGTGTATGTGTTTTTAGGCAGTAAAGGTAAGCATTGCTGCCAAAAGTGGAGGTGATGGATTAAAGAGATTATTTTTTAATGTTTTCAACCTTGCACCCAGGCCATACAGAAATAATATTCATATCAAACATTGAAAAGTCTTCAATGAAGTTGAATGGTGTGCAAAAATTGTGTGCATTGTCTGTGCAGATAATGAATCAGTCTCAAGTGGATGCTCATTTTTCAAACCTATTTAATTATTTACCTAAACCTTCTCTTGACAGTCGGCTGCTCTCTGTAGGTGCTGGAAGGACGGATTGGTCCGCCAATGCCAACAGAAAAAGTCTCACCCTCCAAACTCCGGCAGATTCATTTGATGCCCCTGTAAAATGACAGAATGTACAATATTACACACGGTTATACAAAATAAGCACCACTCAAAATTGAAGAATTGTATTTAATAAATTGCTCCATTGAGTCTGGAAAGGAGGGAGAAAATGTATGGATGACCATTTTTATGTGTAAAGTTCTTTCTCTTGCTTTACTTATCGTCTATCCTATCATTTTGAAAGAAAGATAGAGGATGACCGTATGATACAGCTACGGAATGTAATGTCCTAAGCCATGATATAACATTTAAATATTTCACAATTGAAATGAAATATTTTGTTAATACTGATATAGCCTGTCTATAGCACAAATAGCAGCTATATTTAGTGGAGTATGCTATTTGTAATAACTGCTTAATTGTCATTAGAAAGACATAACAAAGTTGGTATCCCTAAGTATAATTGACCTGTTGATTCAAGGACGTTAGCATTTATACTTAAATTGAGTTGTCATAGTTCTCACATTTTTGTATAATTATGAACAAGTTATCATATTCCTGTTTAAAGATTTGAGGGAGCTTCTCACATAACATTCAAGTACACTACTGCTTAAATACTTTTACGACTATTGCTTAAATATTGTCATCATTACAACTGTAATATTTATCCAGTTGGTTTAAAATACACAACTTGTCCTGGCACAGTAAGTTTATGTAGGCTTTATGTAGGCTACACAGCAGTAGTTAGCTTGCTCTTCCCGGCTCAAACTTCAAATGAAAACGTTAAAACTAAACTCGATACATTATGAATCCACTGCAAATGTAACGTGAACAAAACTTTTTAAATAAGCTTGCCTTGCACTATATATGATTTAAGACCAATGCATCAGCACAATATGAAATGGACAATGCTAATGCTCATGCACATTTAAGAACTGATATAGCCTACCCGTTGTTGGTGCCCTCCGACGCCTCCGGAACGTGCTCCTGGTGACTCGCAGAACATTGTCGTTGCGCTGCGCTGCGAGATCCCTTCTGGCAACGTCGAGCGCATTAAAAACGCGATTCATTACACTGTTGAATTCCTGAGTGCCATTTTCGTTTTCGTCTGTCATAATGTTCCCAAGATGTACCACACCACTCATTAGATTTGCCAGAAATGAAATGTAACAGACACGAGACTTACATTATAAGCAGTGGCGGCTGGCCTATAGAGGGCGCTAGGGTGCCGCCCTTCCTAAACCACACACAAAAACATTATTATTATTATTAATAATATTAATAATCATCATAATCATAAAGTGTCAATGTTTGTGTGTTTAAAATCTGAAATGGATCCAGAAATATGTGTAATATGTGATTTTCACAGAGCACGCGCCCCTTAAGCCCCGCCCCCGAGCTCCCACTCTCGGCTCAGTGGAATGAATGGAGACAGAAAATAAATCTAGATATTGTGCAAGTTCTCCCACTTAAAAAGATGAGAGAGGCCTGTCATTTTCATCCTAGGTACACTTCAACTATGAGAGACAGAATGGGGGGGAAAGAATCCAGGAAATCACATTGTAGGATTTTTTATTAATTACTTGGTAAATTCCTCGGTAAAATAAGTATTTGGTCTGATAATCTCCCTCGATCTGGGGCTCCACGCAAGATCTCACCCCGTGGGGTCAAAATGATCACAAGAACGGTGAGCAAAAATCCCAGAACCACACGGGGGGACCTAGTCAATGACCTGTAGAGGCTGGGACCAAAGTAACAAAGGCTACCATCTCACTACGCCGCCAGGGACTCAAATCCTGCAGTGCCAGACGTGTCCCCCTGCTTAAGCCAGTACATGTCCAGGCCCGTCTGAAGTTTGCTAGAGAGCATTTAGATGATCCAGAAGAGGATTGGGAGAATGTCATATGGTCAGATGAAACCAAAATAGAACTTTTTGGTAAAAACTCAACTAGACGTGTTTGGAGGAGAAAGAATGCTGAGTTGCATCCAAAGAACACCTACTGTGAAACATGGTGGTGGAAACATCATGCTTTGGGGCTGTTTCTCTGCAAAGGGACCAGGACGACTGATCCGTGTAAAGGAAACAATGAATGGGGCCATGTATCGTGAGATTTTGAGTGACAACCTCCTTCCAAGGGCAAGGGCATTGAAGATGAAACGTGGCTGGGTCTTTCAGCATGACAATGATCCCAAACACACCGCCCGGGCAACGAAGGAGTGGCTTCGTAAGAAGCATTTCAAGGTCCTGTAGTGGCCTAGCCAGTCTCCAGATCTCAACCCCATAGAAAGTCTTTGGAGGGAGTTGAAAGTCTGTGTTGCCCAGCGACAGCCCCAAAACATCACTGCTCTAGAGGAGATCTGCATGGAGGAATGGGTCAAAATACCAGCAACAGTGTGTGAAAACCTTGTGAAGACTTACAGGAAACGTTTGACCTCTGTCATTGCCAACAAAGGGTATATAACAAAGTATTGAGATGAACTTTTGTTATTGACCAAATACTTATTTTCCACCATAATTTGCAAATAAATTCTTTAAAAATCAGACAATGTGATTTTCTGGATTTTTTTTCTCATTTTGTCTCTCATAGTTGAAGTGAGGATGAACATTACAGGCCTCTCTCATCTTTTTAAGTGGGAGAACTTGCACAATTGGTGGCTGACTAAATACTTTTTTGCCCCACTGTATATATATATATATATATATATATATATATATATATATATATAACCTGGCCAGCTTAGCCAGTGTGTATTTCTTCAAGCACCACAAGATTCATAGTTTATAAAGTACAATTCTGGGCCATTGATTGTGTCATTTCTCCAAACACATATAGTAAAAATGGTGCAGGAAAAGGACTTTACATTGTAATATACTTAAAGACAGGACTATTCAGTTAACAGAAGAGAAAAAGGAAAGCAAATTGTTATAATGGGTGATGTAACATTAATGACATAATATGAGGTCCTTGGCACTCAGACTCTAGGGGTCATTTTGTGATCATGGGTCATCACCCTTACAACATCAGGACAATATCATATGGAGTCAGACATTGGAAGTGTGCTGGAGGCTGAGGCGTTGACTGGGACTGATGGAAGGATGAGGCTGATGAGACTGAAGAATCTGCGAGGAATGAACAAGCGGCTGAGAAATAATCATATATTAAAAGACAGCAGCTTCATAAGAAGCCAACAAGAGTGACAGAGTGTGTCAGTGTGCTGAAGGATAGACCAGCTAGCTAGACTCTAAAGACTTTCCAAGGTGTAAAATGCTGCTGCCAGAGTACTGACTGGAAATATCCTCTTAAAATATTCTGTCCAACAATATCAGTCTCATGAAGAAAGGTTTTTTTAACGCTTACTCAAAATAGTAGAGAAACATGCATTTTTGTTCTCAGGAGGGGACATTAACAGAGGATTGTTGGAAAAGTACACAGTAAGTACTTCATAGTACTTGTGGGGTAGTTTAAGTAGTACTGAGTCCAACAGGATCAATCTCACAAAGAACTAATGGCAACAAAAAAGAATTCCCTCATCAAACTTAGCAGAAGTGGCTTGATTTTGTTCTCAGCAGGGACTTTGACAGAGTATTTCTCAAAAAATACACAGTAAAAGTACTTCAATGTATTGTAAGTAGTAGGCTAATACAAAGTCTAACAGTATCAATTTAATTAAGAACTAATGGTAAAATTATATTTTTATCATTCATCAAAGACAGCAGAAAACATGCATTATGTACTATGATTATGTAGCCTGCTATGGAGGGGACTCTGACAGAGGATTACTCACAAAGTACACAGTAAAAGTACTTCATTTTATTTCTGGTAGAAGTCAAACTAGTACCGAGTCCAACAGTGTCAGTTTCCTTAAGAACTTGTGGTAACAAATATTTGTATCACTCGTCAAATATAGCAGGAATAATGAAGAGCAGCTGATTTGAAAAAACAAAGGCGAGAGACGGCGGAGTGACCGCAGTGCAGAATCACTGTATAGTTTAAATCTCCTAACAATGTTGTCCATTTTAGACAGAGGCTGATTATATTTACAGCCCTTAGTTACATCCATTTTCTGGGCTCAATATGTGTCATGGCCGTTTTCGTTGTGATCGCTAAATTCACCTTGTTTCCCTTTGTTTATAATATTATCACCGCTTTTGTTTTGAAATCACTTCCGTGAGATTCGCCCCTCGCTCCAATGACCATTAGACCATTTAGTAAGGTAAGAAGCAAAAAGGCCTCTCAAACGCTCTTCCGTTTACGTGTTTAATAAAGAAAAACAATTGGACGGTAGATACACGGATTATCATGGCTCAAGATCCTGTTCTTGTTTAAGATTATTTTAATGTGTGTATTTAACATCCATATCACTCTTCAAAACTGAAACAACTAAAACATTTTTTTTAAAGCATTGCAGGCCTAAAGCTCCACGTCAGTGACCTATATTTTAATTTCTTCCATCAAACTTTAAAAATGGCAAACAGCATGTTTTTAAAGATGTCATCTTTTAAGAAACAAAATATCAACTTTGAACAGAAGGGTTTAAACACACGTTTTTAATGCAAATAAACTTCAACTTATATATATATATATATATGCAAGTATTGCTAATGCAATTGTTTTTTAAGTTTTTATACATAGTCTCAAATGTTTAAATTGTTTATGGAGGCATTACAATTTAAGACTGATAAATTAACACTGAAACTACTGTTTTTGTTGCATTAAGTCATACTGGGATGTTTGCTGAAATTGATTGCATGTGGTACAGCCCTACTTAGAAAAAAAATCCACTGCTTATAAGGCTCTTCACTCAGTTTGGACACTGACCAATCAAAATCTGGGACCCGCCTGCTTCATTTGCATATGGCTGACTAGTTAACGTGTTGGCCATATGAACGGCAACTAGTTAACTAGTGGATACATATTGCAGCTTACATGTTAACTAGTGAAGGCAAAATGTTCACTAGTTAACTAGTTGAAGCCTGTTTTGGTCTTCTAAGCTGACTAGTGAGGCTCAAAATGTGCACTAGTTAACTAGTGAGGTCCAAATTGTCCACTAGATGCACTAGTACAGGGGTGGCCAACCAGTCAGAGGTTAAGAGCCACATGTTTTCTATGTTACTGCAAGGAGCCACATCAAACACACAGTCACTGATACCGCTTGTTTCAGTTTTTTGTTTTCTGGAGACAAGATTTCAACCACGTCACTGATTCATTTTTGTGGCATTGGGATATATTTTTTAAATCCTCTGAAGCAGAGAGAGGAGCTGTGGATTATTGTTATTGATTAATGCATCAGTGTTTCTTAGGGTCAAAAACACTAAACCCACAACTTCAAATGAAAGCGTTTAGTTTATTTAATAAAAGAGCACATGTTCAATGTGAAAAGTGACAGTAGTTATAGATTATTTGCAATTTGATTCTATATATATTTTTAAAAAGTATATATATAACACCTTGAATTTCAGGGGGGGCGCGGGGCTCCGTTGGCAGCTCGCAGTGCCCCTCCAAGACAATGGTAGGGGAAACACTGAATAGTGTTTAATCAACAATAGGTTTCCCCCCCTCAAAGGTGATTGGTTCACTGCATTGCAGGTATTATTGTGATTGGCTGTTGGGCCACATCAAAATTAGACGCGCTGTCATCCTCTCATACTGACACCTGACACCACACATACACACGTAGGGAGAGCCGGGACAAGGGTAACACGGGACCAAAGTAACGGAGCGATTTTATCCGAGCCCAAACAACTTTGACCGGCCAAATTACGTCAGAATGATCAGCATTCAATACTTAACAGACCTACTAAATATCAGGTTTAACTGTCAGTGTTGTCACGATACCAACATTTTGGTTTCGATACCAAGTCAAGAATTGCGATTCCGATTATTTTTCTTAAAAAACGGGAAACAGTCTTAAATGTAATTATTGTGCTTTATGTCACACCAGAATCATAACCATAACACAAACTTTTAAACAATGAGAACAATAAATACAATAAATGACAAGAATTCGTATTAAATAACATTAATACATTTCTCACAGACAGGCCTCATGGTGTCCGTGGCTTGCCCTCACTGTCAGAGATATAGCTAAAATACTTCCAGATGTAGCTTCTGGCGTCTTTTTTGTCAACAAGCCGAGGCGCAGCGGCAGTTGCACTCCCACTGGCAGCCATGCTTCTCGTTTTCTCACATGCTCTGGCAGCTAGCGCGTGCACGAGAGAGGGGAGGCACTTAGAGCGTGCTTGAGAGGGGAGGGACTTAGAGCGTGCTTGAGAGGGGAGGAATTTAGAGCGTGCTTGAGAGGGAGGGACTGCAGGCACGGCTGCAGTGCAGGGAGTGGAAGCAGAGCGCTGAACACAC